CCAATCACTGCTGTTTTACGCCATTGCCCACGTTGGTCTGTGTGGTATGTTTCTTTTCTAGCAGATACAGAACTTCAGGTTAGTATTGTCGTGTTCCTACAAGCATTGTCATACTCATGCTGCTCTGTCAGTCAGCAGATAATGCAGTCTGCTGGTTTTTTTATGACATACATTTTGTGTCAAATAGACCGTGGTACATTCTTACCAGAAGTATTATTCCAGGTACTGTCAGAAAATAGTATCCCAGAGTCCATATTCTTAAGAGCAATGCCTGTATTAACAGATACAAATATATTTTTGTGTTCCTTCCTGCTTAATCTTTTTTATGGCAGCAGTAAAACACTAATTCTTTCAAACATATATCACGTTCAGTATCAATAGACTTGCTTCATCTCAGTTCAGACTTTATAAACCTAAGTGCTTACAGATGTGTCCTGATCCTATATTCCTGAAGATTAAAAGAAGTTTTGCTACAAATGGCAGTGAGCATGGGTCAGGTGACAGAGGTTTGATCATCTTTCTACTATTTGAAGTTGTTAGCCTTTTCTGTAAATGTTGATTCAGACATGGTGATTTTTTGCTGCAGAAAAAGGCCTAAAAAATTAGCACTCATGTAAGTTGGCACATAAATCCTTTCGTGTCACATTAGTATTTTTGTCTGTACCCTTTTTTTGATAATTAGAATTTTCTAAAGTGTGTCAATTTATAGTTGTTTCTTAAATCTAAAACATTTCAGTGCAAACTTTTAACAAAATTAGAACGTTTTAATCCCATTCTTTTGAGAGTCTTTTTGAATTCCAGCTGTATTTACAGACTTGAAATTCAGTATCATAAAACATTTCCACTTTGATTTTTCTCATTTTAATCTTCATTTCTTTTTATTTTGCTTACTAACTGGTTTATGGTATGTACTTATTTTTCTTAGTACTTTTCACTTATATCTAATAACTTTCAAAATCTGTATTCAATAATACTGTTTAATAGGGAACTTGATATATCAATCAGGGCAAATATTTTCTTTATCTGTTTTCTTAAGCCTTACATCATTAAAAGTTTACTATTAAAGGATTTTAATAAATTCTGGACAGTGGTGCTTGTCGTTTTAAAAGATTGGAAGCAAATCTCTTCCTACTTTTCTGGTTAAACCTGAATTTGTCTGAATGTCAGGGCAGCCAAGTACCTGCAGCATTCATGTTCAAACTTACTCTCTTCTGATCTGTCACTTTCTTTTCCAGCTTTCACTCTGTATTACTGTGTGTGTATGTGGTTGAAACTAGCTAGGAAATACAGTGCTAATGTATACAACTTAATTTAATTAATGAATGTATTAGTTATATGGAGAAAATGCTACATTTTTGTCTGGTTTCTTCTCATATCTTTATAAGATGGGTGACAATACAATGATATGAACCCAGATGCACGTTAAGGAGTAGTTCTCACATTCTGTAGACAAACTGCCAAGTCACAGCTTGTTTTAGTTCAGCAGACTTTTCTTCTGGTTTTTAATAGTTTAATATGGTTCCACAGGCCAAGTGTGGAACACTTGGGAGCACACTAGGGGAGCAATAATTCTGGTGGATCAGTTTAGCACAAGGACATAGAATTTTTGCATCATTGTCTGATTTCAGTGTTACAGTTCAGAATAGATGGGGATCATTCTGACCTGAAACAAAGTGTGGTGCTTTTCAGCATTGCAGTTTTGGACTCAGTCCCAAAATTCAAAATTCACTTTTTTCTGTGCAGGTACCATTATCAGTTGGTTTCTTACACTTGATACAAAGGAGCGGAGCTTCCTTAGTTCTAGATTTCTGTTCTTTTTAAGGTGCTGGTAGTTGAGCCTTATCCTGAGTCACTGTATTTTTGAGAGTATGAAGTTTAGCTTTTGTACCTGAGGGTGGTTCTTTAAATGGAATCCGCAGAACAGTTACATGAATGTGTTTTGTTACCCGGGACCAATTGCCAGAAGAGTTTGAGTTGTTTCATCTCATGAGGAAACAGGAAAGCTGCTTTACAGGCAGCTGTGAAGATTCCTCTTGAACAGTGCAGTTATCAGTACCTGACTGCTAGCATGGTCCTTAACACTTTCATCCTTCCCTTCTTGTGGTATGTTTCATCATGTGGTTTCACCTCACTTCTAAAGAAGGGAAACACAAGATCTTGAAACCTCAGCTGGGCAGAGGAGCCATTTCAGCTGTCTTTAAAATGCATTTATTTACAAGTGTGTTCTTTTTTTTTTTTTTTTTATTTTTTTTTTTAGTTAAAAATTACCTAGTGCTTTAACCAACTTTGTTAGTTAACTTCCTTTGTTAAATGACTTTCTCACTATAGCACTTTTAGTTTGTGCTTTACAGGAACAGGGCAAACGTAATTCATAAAGATTAAGCTGTACCCCTTTCTGTGGAGTTTTGCATCTGACACTTCAAATATTCTTTTTCATTTAATGTATTTTAAATATTTCTTCTTTTGAAGACTGATGTAAACAAGGATATCGTTGAACTGGAGAATAAAGTGGCAGCTTTGAAATGTCAGTTTGAGAAGACTTTGAATGATTCTACTGCAAACCAAAAATTCCTGGAAGAGAACTTGGTGACAACAAAACATGACTTGCTTAAGGTTCAGGATCAGCTATCCACAGCTGAGAAGGTTGGCATTTGATTGTAATGTAAAGCTCTTTACTCACTTTTTACCTGATTATTAAGTGAACAAGAGCACAGAGTTCATTGGGTCACATTTGTTACTTAATTTTCATTGGTTACTACACATTTTTGTTACTTCATTGGAAACATGTTATGTGTAGAATAGCAAAACCAGAGTGAAGATCATAATTACTATGAAATAACATTTTAAAATTGCCCATGTGTTTGCATAGAAATTTTTAACTTAGAACAGTGTTCCCAGTCTTCAGCAGGTTTGTTGTCTGATTTCTGTAGAAAATGAGACTTGTGTTTGTCCTTCTCACTGATGTCCTTTAAATCTAACAGCTGGTTTCAGCTACATTTGAATAAGGAACAGAACTGCTGTTTTGAAACTTGAGGAGAAAAGCTCATTTTTTAGAGAATTGTATTAGCCTGGTTTTCATAATGTGTAAGTAATATGTTGGTATTATTACGCAGGAATTAGAGAAGAAGTTTCAGCAGACAGCTGCCTACCGCAACATGAAAGAAATTCTTACTAAGAAGAACGAACAGATAAAGGATCTGCGAAGAAGGCTTTCCAAGTAAGTGCTGTTCAGTCTGTCTAAACAAGATCCACATTCTGCTCCTTTATATGCTTTTATAAATACAAAACTCTCTCTAAAACCAGACTACAAAATTTCCCTTGGATTTCTAGTAGGCTGTTCCCTGATTTTTGATAAGCCAGTCCTTTATAGATAGATGTTAGGTGTATGGGGTTCAGTTGTGTCTGCATGATATTAGTGAATGTGGTAGCTAACCAAAGCAGCAACGCAGAGATACAGATGGGAAGTGTACCAGCTACTTTGACATTGTCTTATTTCTTCCACATTTCTTTATGGGAATGATAAATGGCACAGTATGTAAGCAAGGTTAGGCTCGTATGGGGTAAATAAGGAGATGCATTGGCCTTATATCAGGTAGGAAATTATCCTTCTGCAAATGGCAAGTGAGAATTGGCAACATGGATGCCTTAGATGTGTTCTGTAGGAGGACAGAGGTGGAACTTCTAAACTTCTGTTTGTATACTGGGATTTATGAGTAGAGTCTTGTTCATGCTTTCAAGCTACTATTTGGTAAACTGGCCAATTTTAAAAGCAAAAAGTACTCTGGAAAGTATATACTATAATATTGTACTGTCTGTGCCCTTAGGCATTTGTTGAATCTTGACAGGGCTGCACCACTAGTGAGAGTAATTCATTACTTGGGCTTCATATTTTCTTTAGAGACAAAGTGTCTCTCAGCTATTTTCTACTCTGTTTTGATTTGATTTTATTTTTTTATCCTCAGATATGAGCCAGAAGACTGAGCTATCAAAAGCTGACATAAGAAGAGAATGCAGAGTGGTGTTATTTTTTATCAAATTTTGTTTAAAATAATTTACAATTTGCTTCTAGTGCTTAAAATAACTTCCTATTAATATTAAAAGGATGCTGAAACTTCTACCCTTCCTTATAAACCATAGTTTATTACTGTTCGTTTCTGTAGTCATGTTTTAAATTAATCATCAACATTCCTTGAGAAATAACAAGCAGCATCTTATTGAAGATCTGAAATGATTCTTTACAAAGAAAGCAATTTATTTTTGCTAAGAAAAGGAAAAAAAAAAAAGTATTAAGTTTTTAGTGATGTCTCTGAGGTGAAAACTGGAGTGGTTTTATTAGTTCATTTTACAGTACAGTTCATGTAGCTGTGAAGTGGCACTGTTTGTGGAAACTGCATTGATAGCAGTAAAAAGCAGGAGGGAAGAAGAAAGAAACATGCTGATGCTATAGCATTAATTCACACTGAATATCTGATCTCTCTGCAAAATGTGACCAGTAACATCTTGCTAGAGGCTATTCATTAGGTAGTGAGAGAAATATGCTTTACAGGAGAAGCAGCAGGCTCTTTAAGGAAAAAAAAAAAACACAACACTAATTGGAGCTATGCTTTTTCACTTGAATTTATTTGAAACAAATGTGAACATTAGAACACAGATTTTGATTTTTTCTCAATACTTTTGATGTTAAAGTGACAATCTGAAAAAGCATGAGGAAGTGGCTTATAGAGCAGCTTTCTTAAGAAGTAAGTTATTGTAGACGTTTTCACCTCCTTTCTTATTGTAATCTCTCTAGGAAACAGTTTACTCGAGCCTTCAGAGAAGACTTTGTATTTACCTGGCAGCCTCTTTATAGTGCATTGTACTTATTCATTTTTTTCTGTTCATATGTATGTTGTATGTTACTCCAAATAAAACCATTATGTTTTAAAATATCCAATCTTTAAGGAGCTTTATTTGAATAGGGTTGCTTTAAATACAGTTTTAAACACTCTTAAATATTTGTAGAAAATAGCAGCAGATCAGTAAAAAACCTTGCTAGAAATAGAAAGATGGAAATTACAGGTCCATGCCAAATGCTGCAGCCCATCAAACAGCTACAAGAAGAGCATTCTAGTGGCGGGGCTGGGAAGAAGTCTTTGGGTTAGAGATTAGCTGACCTTTACAATCCTTGTCTCAGGAGCTGCTTGAGCTGAAATGGATCCTTTTCCTCACTCCTTCTCTGGATAGAGCTGTTAAAATCGCTCTTGTAGTCATGCCACAGTCAAATCTACCATGTGAGTTCTTTTGCTGCCCTTTTTTCCCCAGTGGTTAAGGAAGACAGGAGTGGGATGGACTCCTGTGTCTGCAACATACACTGACATACAAGGTCAGTTGAATTCAGGAAGGTATTTTGTACAATAATTAAACTGTTATTTTCTTAATAGAGAGCTTCCTGCCTTGTGCTTTCTCAGAGCAGTTCTTTTGACACCAATGGTTGTGTGGATCAATACTGTATTTTCCTTTGTAATGAAATTCATTTTAACAAGATCAGTTACTACTTCTAAAATGAAAGGAAAGAATGCTGGGTTTTTTTGGTGTTTGTTGTTTTTTTTTGGTAAATCCTTTGCTGCTGACTTTGCTAGAATATTGAATATCTGATACACTTTCTTTATCTGCTTAAAAACTATTCAATAGGAATGTATGTTCTCAACTGCAGTACACACTTAGGTCTCAATAAAATTAGTTGGCCATAGGCTATCATGACTACAGACCTTATTATCTCCTCAAATGAGTAAGACAAATCATACAGAGAATTGTGCAGTGCAGAATTGAAGCACCAGCCTTGATAACTTATCTTGCAGATTTCCAGTGTGAGATTAGTGTGATTGCTCAGTTGCTAAGAGAAAGGTCTCATTTGCAGCTCCTGATAAAATTGTATTATCTGTCTGCCTGCCAAAGACCTTAGTGTTATACAACAGCAATTCCCTTTTTGCTGAGATAGGCACAATATTCTGAACGTCTAACATTTCTAAAACTTTGTTTCTTTTTCTACAGTGTAAATTCTAATGCAGCTTTTACTAACCTTTGTTCTAGCAAGTTCATTATACTGCTCAAGAGTACCTTGTCTGTTTCCTCCACTCCAGCTGTTAATCCCCTAGTTATGCCTGAAAGAAATATTTAAAAAGAAAATTTCTCAGTAACTGGCTGATCTGCAGGAATCAACTCTCTTTCAAGTCAGTTGGGGTTTAGGTGTTTTGGGGTGTTTTTTTTTTGTTTTTTTTTTGGTTGGTTCTTTTGGTTTGTTTGTTTGTGTTCTTTTCTTTTTTGCACTTTCTTGCAAACTGAAGCATGTTTCCTATGGGAACAAAATCTAGGCAGCTCAGTTTTGCTAGTATTGACTGTGACAGCCAACAAATAACCCTGCACTGTAACCATGACGTGAGCGCAGCAGTTGGTCGTTAATAAATGAGCCAGCAGTGCTGCATGCTACCTTCCTAACGAGACAGTATATTACCCAGTGTTCTTTAACTGTTCATCAAGTACTCCTTAATCTGTTTCTCTCTTTTGGATAATATACTGATTTCTTAATGTTATAAAATGAGTATTTGTATTTAACACTTTTAAACTGCAACTGCTTCTCTTTCATTTGATAGGCTGATGTCAGAACAGCTGCAACTTACCTTGCTTTTGGGAAGTGCAGCACAGATGCAGTGATGAACTGGAGAAATAATTGCAATCCAGCCATCCTAATCACTGCTTGGGGGAATGACTGAAATCTCCAACTAAACAAGAGACAATCAACCAGCAGTTATGGTGGCCTACAGGTCCTCAAAGATCTAGAAATCCAGCAGGATGCTTTCTCTTTCTGAAAGAAACGTGGAGCTTAGAGTAGTAGCTGTGAACAGTATATCCACACAGAAAGACACTCGAGCTTGTGTTACCACGCATGGGAGCTGTTGCTAGCTTAGCTGTGTACATGCTTGATAGCATCGCTACCAAGGAAAGGTAATAGAATTATAGAATGGCTGGGGTTGGAAGGAACCCCAAGGTTCACGAATTTTAACACCCTGCCACAGGCAGGGCCACCAATATCCAAATCTGGTACTAGACTATGTCTGTAGAGACTCCTCCGGTGCTTCCTTGTGATAGTCATCTAACATGCAGCAGGCAGTGTACTGCCACTCAGAAGGGAGTGCCTTCAGGAAGGGCAGGTACTGAACACCAGGCATGGCCCTCTCCCACATCTTCCTGACAAAGGAAAGCCCACCACAAGAGGTAATTTTTTTAAATCTATGGGATATCATGTAGTTTAATAAAATGAAGACCACCAGGTAGTAGAATTATCTAGGAACTGTCTATATCAGACTTCTTTAGCTTCTACTTTTGACTCCTTCCCTTATTTCCATCTCTTTCAGCAATATAATGAAATAAATCTTCTCTCCCAGCCTATCACTGGACACCAGACTCCCTTCTGGTCTGCATTTTAAGGAGCTGGGAGAGGTACTTCTTACTGTACTGGTATTAACAGATGCCAGCCCCTGGTTGGTACCTTCACCAAATAAGGCTAATTTTACTTTATGAGAAATGGGGTTCTCTTCTCTGTTTACCAGTTTCTGATTCTGGTTTACATGGGTCGGTTTTCATGTTGTCCCACTTGTCCTTGCCCAGCTCTGCAGATGAACCCCTATCCTTTGTCACCTCTCTTCCAGATTCCAAACTCTTGAATCTGTTAGATACAGGGGATATTGTTAATTGTTCTTTTAACAAACATGAGCAATTAAATAATCAAAAATTCTTGTGTATCTATTAGAGACCTCTGTCCTCCAGATAAAGCAAGAGACCTCACCCAACCCAAAGAAAGGAAATGCAAAGATAAGATTTTGATTGCATAAGAAATAGCATCTAGGTTATCTGAGGTGCATGTGGAAAGTCCTACAGCAAGATAGTGAGTTCTGTTTATGATACTGGCATTCAGAAGAGAGGCAGTGATACATTTCGCTGCATCTGAACTTTCTGATCTGGCCTGATCTATGCCAAGGACACCACACCTCTTTGCCTGCACAGCCTTTCATGTAAACTAGTTTGAAATGTAATGGGGAGGAGGGGCAGAGCCAAAGAAATGTTTAACTTGATTGTCCTCATCAGTAGCAGTAATCTATTCACACAGAAGCATCCCAAGTGCTAGCAATGTGCTATTTTTAAGGCTCCCCTTCCTGCGAGTTAGTTATTAAATGCTCTAAGTTATTTATAAGCATCATTTGTAATAAACCCCACAGGCAGTGAGGGACATTTTGTTTTTTAATCACTTGCAATAGTTTTCATGGTGTGAGATGGCTAACTATATCTGGATCTTCTCAGTGTGTCCTTCAGTTTAGAGGCTTTCAGCCCTAATTTTTCCTCAGGTTCTTCCTTTCAGCAGAATTTGCAGTTACCCATGCAGAGTATTTCCAGGGCGAGCCATCACCTTGCACTTCTGCGGGCAAGGCAGGAACATCAGGGATGTTGCACAAGAAGCATCAGCTCCCTCAGACTGTACTGTGGAAAGGCCTGGCAAGCCCAGACGCTAACCCAGTGACCACCTCCACTTCCAGCAGCGCTGAAACACACCATGGAAACTGGTTTCATTTATTTGAGATGCATAAATCTCTCATGGTCACCTTTTGTGGTCACCTTGGCCGGCAGCAGCCAAGAGGGTGTCATTTGTAAAATGGATCTAAAAGGGGCCCAGTCCTGCCCTGAAAGGAGACACATTTTTAGACATCTGAAGAAGGAAGCTGAGTCCTTGGACTTGTTCAGCCCATTTTTATAGCTGGAGATGCTGCTAGTCGCCTCCTTTGCTGCAGCGCTTGAGCTCAAAGTGTATCTTGGCAGAAGCCCAAGCACACAGGGTTCACCTCCAGGCCTGGCACCTTAGTGCACCTTCTGGCAGCCCAGGGACCTCCTCAGGCCTTATGCCTCCACAGTGGGCCATGTTTTCCCAGTGGCCTCTCTCTGTCTGCTTATTTTAAATTAGCAGCCCCTTGGAAACATTCCTCTGCAGCAGTGGGGTTTGAGCATGAAGGGAGAAGAGCCTGAGCTGCGGCTCAACCAAGTGCTGGACTAAAGGCTGGGGACCTGCCTGGGTGACAAGGACACATCTGGGGCTGCTTCCAGATGCCCAATGACCTCCTAAGGACAACGGACAGTTTTTAGTAACAGCCAGCTCTGACAGCCACTGCAACCAGCCCTGACGGTGCAGAAACATCTTCCCCATGTCATCAGATCCGGGCACACAGACACCACGCCCAGAGAAGGCAGCCATGTGAAGAAGCCTTTTTCACTGTCCCAAACCAAGCCACAGCCCCACCGTTGCTCCCTTGCAGTGTCAAGTCAGCACGTGAGCAATGAAAATCCCTGGGCTCGCCTCCTTCCCAGAAATGCCCGTCAAAGCCCAGGCAGCTATTCACCCAAAGTACCAATTTTATAGTGCCGTGTGTGTCTATAATCTATTTACCAGCATTCCTACTTCAGTATGTGCCTGTTAATAAGATTAGTAATTAAAAAGCTTGATAGGAATTGGCAAGCATGACTCTGCCTTGCCCTCCCCTCACAGCCGGGCTGGCGTGGAGGCGGTGCGGGGCTGGCAGAGCACCTGTGGGCCGGCAGCAGCAACAGGACGGCTGCCCACCTGCAGGACATGGAGAAGGCCCGGCCGCTGTGGGACAACCCCTTGCAGTTTGTTTTCGCCTGCATCTCTTATGCTGTGGGGCTGGGGAATGTCTGGAGGTTCCCGTATTTGTGTCAGATGTACGGTGGAGGTAAGTGCAGTTTGCATTTCTCGCTTTCTGCCTCTAGAAGTGTGATGATGAGCTCCAGAAGCGTTTTGTCCTTGTTGACCCTATTAGGGTCCAGAGCAGAGCAGGAGGTCAGTTTTTTCTTCTGCGTGCTTCAGAAGGAAAGTTCCTTGTATTGTGCAAGGTGACAACATACAGCTGGCTCAGGCTTTGCTTTGTTTTACGTGTTCTTTAGCATAAGATGTTCACCTGACTGCTGCCCCTACACAGCACTCACTGCTCAGAAGTACAATGGAACAGTGGGAAGCCCAATGCTTTGTAAAAGCAGAGTGAGAACTGTAGGTCTGTATGATTTTTACATATTGCTTTTCTGCCCTCTCGAGCCACTCTGAAAGCACCAGAAATGAGTTCAGATCCTCACAATTTCACTGAGAGGTAACTGAATCAAGTGAGAGGTGGGAAGATGTTCAGACTGAGTTGATTGAAGGATCTGCTGTAACATATCAAGGAGCTGTCATTAATGTGTTGTCCTTTATACAACCTTACTCTGGGAGGTGATAACTTGTCTGCAAAGCTGCCTTGAATTTGGATGAAAATCCTCAATCAGCAGGAGCTCCTGTACTAATGCCTCACAGGAAGCTTTGAAAATAGGGAATAAATGGGCTCAAAAATCACCACCTTTGAAAGCCCATCCCTCTCCTAGGTCCAGACTGGAGAAAGGTGATGTCCAAATCATATAGCAGCCATGGATGTTGTTCCTCAGAAATTGAAAGTCAGCTAATTAGTTAAAACACCACTAACAATCTCTTCTAGTGTATAACTACCTCTGGTTTACCGGCATTTACTGAAGAACTACCTGTGCAGAAACTGCCTGTTTTCATAAAAATCCCAGTTTTATATTACTTCCCATGCTGTATCCATTGTCAGAGCACTGGACCCATCTTGTAACTGCATTAAGCAACGTGGTCAGTATCTGCCTCATTTGCTGCTGGTCTGCCTCTGACTTGTTCCTTTCAGGAAAGAAACACACACAGGTGTTTCAGCTCTTCTTGTTCATTTTGTGCAATGAACATCGACTCATGGCTTGTTTTTAAATGCAGAGGTGGTGGGATTTGGTTCATGCTGGTTGTTGAAAAGCCAGCTCAGTGCTAGGACCACATCAGAGCCGCCCTGAGGGATTGGATCAGAAAAACTCAGATAATGCAATGGCCAAAACTACAGCAGGAGCAAAATGCTGCTGTGTCTGAAGCTTTCTTAACCATTTGGTTGGCGACCCTGCACACAGCAGGGGGGTTGAAACTAGATGATCATTGTGGTCCTTTTCAACCCAGACTTTTCTATGATTCTATGATTTCTGAGATCAGAAGTGATGGAAGGGCTGAATTCTGGGAATACTTATCAAGGCAGAGGTTTCGGAGAGTAAAGGCTTCATGTCCAACACTGAGTTCTGGCACAACACTCAGGTGCCTGTATGCAATTAAACCGCATGTGATGAGTGCTCCAACAGCTCGTCTTGGCAGACACCCTGACAGACAGCAGAACTCAAACACGGAGGAGGAGGTTTTGTGGTTTGTCCTCATGTCAATAGCATAGTGGATGGTGAAAATTCTCTGACACGTAACCCAAACTGGAACATTGATCAACCATAGAAAAAGAATAAATAAAACCAAGTGTTTTCTGAAAAGCATGTTTTCCTAAGAGCAGTTTCTCCACTAGTTATGTTCTCCTGGTTAAATTTCCCAGGGGAGCAGCAGTTCTCCTTATTGTTTGTCCGAAACTCCTGACAGCGGGCTTTGCTTCTCCTAATTACTTTCACTGCCCTCTTAGAAAGCATTGAGTGCCTTTCCAGGGGGCCGCAAGACCCACACCAAACACAACAGTGCTGCAGGAATTTTAGTGCTGGGTTTGCCAGGCACCCAGGGATGCTGGCAGCTGCCCTTTGGCCTCCTCTTTGCAGGGAGCACGGCCAGCCCCGGCCAGCCCAGCAGATCGATTGCCTCCCTTGTGGCATAGGAAGTTACCTAACAGGCTAACAAAGGCCTTGTTAGTAAAGACAGAGCCGGGCGGTAGGACATTAATTCTGAGAATAAACCGGATTATTGCTCAGTGTTTATTTCCAGTCCCTTGCCTCGGCCATTGCCGGAGCCCATTCTTCTGTGCCACTGCACCAAGCCCATCGTGAAGAATGTTAATGCCACAGATTAAATCCTAAATAAGAGATATTTACGTAAATTTTTTGGCTCGCTGTAAAAAGAGAACCAGGAAAGGCTACAGGAAGAAATCCAGGGTTTGACGCAGTCAGCAGCTCTTTCTTGAAGTGAAGGGGGAAGGATTTTGTCTTCCCACCAGAAATCCAAGCTGATGTGCATCCTGCCCCTCACCCTCTTCCTCCTTCCTACCAGGTTTCAATACATTACTTAAAATTCTCCATTCTATGTGGATATTGCTGTTGCTTTGATCCCTATCACAGAATGCTGCATGGAAAGCCCACTTCTAGTTGCCTTCATTCGTCTTAGCACATTCAGAGGTCAGCATGGCATGTTGTTACCTGTTAACAGCTCTGCACATTGCTCCAGCCGTTGGTGACCCACAGCTGAACAACAGAAATCCCAGCCCTGCCAAATGCCCATGGAAAATTCCTGGTCCTGGCCAGGACACCTGCTGAAACCCCAAGAGATGTCCCTCAGGCTGTGTCGTGCTCCTGAACAAATGAGGTGCTGGGACAGGAGCCAGCCAGCCACCACCACTGGGGCAACTTGGCTGCTGAGAGGGCAATGCAGTATTTACAGGCTGACAGTATGCTGGACACGTCTGTTTTCCCTCGCAGGGGGCTTTTTGATCCCATACGTCATCATGCTGGTGGTGGAGGGGATGCCGCTGCTTTACCTGGAGCTGGCGGTGGGGCAGCGCATGCGCAAGGGGAGCATCGGAGCCTGGAAAATAATAAGCCCCTACCTCTGTGGGGTTGGTATGTCCTCTATTTCCATCTTTTATTTTGTTGCTTTTTTTTCTGATTTTTTTAAATACCTGAGGAACACAGATAATTTGTCTTTCATAGATGAAAGCAGGAAGGAGATGGGTTTCCAACAGGCTTAGCAAATGCTGGGGGCATTTTCCCCCTCCCTTTTCTAGCATTGGTGCTGAACCTTGCTCAGGCTGAGGCCTGAACCCCACTGCCCTGGGGCAGGCTGCCAGAATGGTGGCAGCCTGAAGATCAGAGCCAAACCCAGCCCCAGGCTGCCCATGCTGAGCATCAGCCCCACAGAGCAGCAAGATAGGGCTTTGGCTTCCTCATTACAGCTTCGTGTTTATCAGAGCTCAGACCTTGCAACGTTATTAAGACATTAAATTACCCCCATGGCCCAAGTGAGCTTGCTTCCATGCATGTTTTGTTGTAACAATAAATTGAATGTTCACTCACCAGGGTGACTGAAGCGTAAAGCTCAGTTCAGGCCAGCCCTGACAGGAGGAGGCCATCTTGCCATGACTGGCTTCTGGGCTTTGCCACTGACCACACACTCTCTCCCACCTGCAGGCGTTGCCAGTGTGGTCGTCTCCTTCTTCCTCTCCATGTACTACAACGTGATCAATGCCTGGGCCTTCTGGTACCTCTTCCACTCCTTCCAGGTACGTGGGTTCCTGGTGGTGTGGTTTAGCCCCATGGAGGACCTCAAGGGCTTTGCACTGGTACTGGACCTTGCTTGGCTCTGGGATAGTCCACGTCATGTGCTCCAGGGCAGGAGTTCAGTCCTCTGGGAGAAGCTCAGAGCTAGGAGATATGCTTGGCTCCAGCAGAGATGGTCAGAGATGTTGGTCACAGGGGAGAGGGTTGGTCCCCGGGGAGAAAGTCATCCCTAGGAGATGGGGTTGGCTTCAGGTAAGATGATCAGAGAGGCTCAGTCCTCTCTGGGAGAAAGAGGTCATATCCAGAGGAGAGGATCAGACCCCTTGGAGAGTGAGTTGTTCCCAGGCCTCACTACCAAGGGATGGTGTCAGCACAGGGCCAGGTGGTACAACATGGGGACAAGCCAGCCCCAAGGAAAAAGCTTCCCTAACCTCTATTTCCACTGCTGTCCTCTCTCCCTTCCAGGACCCACTGCCATGGGCCACCTGCCCCCTGAACAGCAACCGCACAGGGTACGAGGAGGAGTGCGAGAAGACATCTTCCACCCAGTACTTCTGGTACCGGCAGACCCTGAACATCTCCCCCTCACTTGAGACCAGCGGGAACGTGCAGTGGGAGCAGGCACTGTGCCTGACACTGGCCTGGCTGGTGGTCTACCTCTGCATCCTCCGTGGCACCGCATCCACGGGCAAGGTGAGGGGCAGGCACCACTCCTGGTGGTGCTGATGGTGGCAGGAGACACCTATTCCTCAGGCTTTGCAAGAGAAAAAGTGGTCTACTTGGCCTTTTTGCTTTCTTTTTATCTGCAGCAGAAGTTATAAGGAGGGGGAGGAAAGAAATGTCCTAAGAGCCTTCACTAAGAACAGGCTGAGTGCTGTAATCCACAAATCGCATTAGACAAGCACAGAAGTCCAAGAGACTGCTAAGAGTAACCTCTGAAACTTGCTTCAGCTGGGTTTGTGGGCAAAAATGACCCCAATAAAATAGCGAAAACATACTGACAACACATAGCTATGGAAGGGGCTCCTCAGAGCAAGAAAGAGCAGTCGCAGTGCATTTGCAACAGAACAGCAGAAGGGTTTATGAGACCAGCACAGGGCTGTCCTGCTGAGGAACACAAAGCTGATGCATTTCAAGCCTTGCTGCAAGGAAAGACGGATACCTGAAGATACAAACCTGCTTCTTCCATAAGGAGCTGCCACTCAGCCAAATGCAGCTTTGTTGGGTTTCTTCCCTATTGGCATTCCAACATCAAAGGAGGTTGGCATGGCTCCATTGAGCCCACCCTCATACTTCTCCCTGGTTCGCGAGTCAGTTTTTACAGAAGTTTTTAGATGAATCATCAGAATGTATGCAGAGAGAGGTTGCTTGTCTTCTCCCTTTTTTTTGTGCCTGATTCTCCCTGCGGTGGCTTAGATTCAGGTTGATCAAAAGCTCCTACGAGGCAATTGAAAGAAAACCTGAGTTACATTAATCTAAAGTCTTTTTTTACATCCAAGTTAGGATGTTGTCATTCCAGTTTGATTTTGATCCTTTATGAGGTCTGCAGTCCTTTCTCTTAGAGCAGATGTTGACCTTTGATGAGCAAACCAATGTTATTTCACTAAATGCAGAGCTGAGCTCAGAAAAGCTGCAAATGTTTTAAATTTGTTCTTAATAAGAAGACTCTTGGAACAGTAGCATAGATCTTTATTAACAACAAAAATCTAAATCTTTAGATTTACATGAAAATATTTGTTTAAAGGGTAGTACATTTAACAAATACAGTAATGGCAGTTCCTCATGTGCACTACTGAGATGTTCCCCTTCCTTCCCATAGGTCGTCTATGTCACAGCCTCCTTGCCATACTGTGTTCTCATCATATACCTTATCAGAGGACTGACACTTCACGGAGCTGTCAATGGGTTGATATACATGTTTACTCCAAAGGTATGGAAAAACAGCACTGAACTTTTAACTAAATGTTATTAGTGACTGAATGTGTAGGTTTTCAAAAGGTGGCTGCCTTTCTTCTTAACAGAGTTTTTCCATTGGTAGCCCTGGTGAAATGTCTGAAAGTCCCCCGCAGTGAGCTGCTGGTGGCTTCCCTGCCCACTCCTCTTTGCTTTCCTGCAGAGAAGGATGCCCTCTAACGCCACCTGCGGTGTACTGCTTCCAAACTGTGCAGTAATAGAACTACGGCCCTGGGCTAAAAGGGGTGTGCAAAGGGACCCAAGCCAATTCCCTTCACTCCTGGGTGTGGGTGTAACCTCATCACGGTCGTTGTCCCGGTCCCCGTCCCTGCAGTCTCCAAGGTGCAGTACGGATGGTGCAGCCTCACAGCCCCATCCTCCCGCCTGGTTTTGCAGCTAGAGCAGCTGTCAAATCCCAAAACATGGATCAGCGCCGCCACACAGATCTTCTTCTCACTGGGTCTGGGCTTTGGCAGCCTCATTGCCTTTGCCAGCTACAATGATCCGAGCAACAACTGTGAGCGGCACGCCATCATCGTTTCCCTCATCAACAGCACCACGTCCATATTCGCCAGCATCGTGACTTTCTCCATCTATGGCTTCAAGGCCACGTTTAACTACGAAAGCTGCATAAACAAGTAAGAGCTGGGTATTTCGTTTTCTTGTTTGCCACCAGAAGCCATTCCTTGCAAATTAAAGGGGAGGTGAACAAACAACAGCACGCAGCACCAGATCTAGGATTGCTCTAGTAAAGGTGATGATGCTGTTTGGACTGGGCTGTCCCCAGGCAGCACTCACCCAACCTCTTTCCCTCACATGGCCCTGGCGGCGCTGTTCCATCTGCAATGGGCACTAAACCCCTGTCATCCACCACAGGGTGATCCTGCTGCTGATGAATACTTTCGATCTGGAGGAAGGCTCTTTGACAGCAGACAACCTCAGTGAGATGAAGGACTACCTCATGGCTGCCCACCCACAGGAGTATGCCCAGTTGTTACCCCAGCTGAAAAACTGCAGCTTAGAAGCTGAGTTAGACACGGTAAGAATCACAGAATAATTAAGGCTGGAAAAGACTTCTCAGACCACCTAGTGCAATCACCAACCCACCCCCACCACGTCCTCTGGCCACATCCCTCAGTGCCACATCCACACAGTTCTTGAACACCTCCAGGGACAGTGACTGCACCACCTCCCTCAGAAGAAATGTTTCCTAATATCCAACCTAAACCTCCCTTGGTGCAACTTGCACTGTTTCTGACACAAGCCAGGATGCCATTGGCCCTCTTGACTACCTGGGCACACTGCTGGCTCATGTGCAGCCAGCTGTCCACTAACACTTCCTGGTCTTTTTCCTTCATGCATCTTTCCAAAGGGGCCGCTTTGCATTTCGCCTGGGCTTCAGTCTCCCCTTGCTTGGCACATTCTGCATCCCTGGAGCGTCAAATTGAAAGGCACTACAAGGAATTTGACTTCCCTCCCCCTGAAATGATTCCTTATCATAAGCTTATAGGTGGCCAAGCCCCCAACTCACTCACTGCCTCCTTCCTGTTGGCAGGCTGTCCAAGGAACTGGGCTGGCATTCATTGTCTACTCAGAAGCCATCAAAAACATGGAGGTGTCTCAGCTGTACTCTGTGCTTTACTTTGCCATGTTGCTAATGCTGGGCATTGGCAGCATGCTGGGCAACATCGCTGCCATCCTTACACCCCTGACCGACAGTAAGGCCATCACCTCGCGCTTCTCTAAGGAGGTGATCTCTGGTAAGTGCCTGCCATGTGGTAGCCTGCATCACACAGGGAGAGCAGTATGCATAGCATACAGGCAGGCAGGGCCACCAACCTCCAGCTTTGATACTAGACCAGGCTGCCCAACCTCATCATCTTAAACACCTTCAGGGATGGTGTTCATGCCATGCGTGCTGCCATGTTGCTAAGTACTGAAATAGAGGCCAAATAAATAAGACTTCCCTATTTTTGATTTCCAGGTATAAGAGCAGGGTCTCTGTTTTATCCATGCAGGTTTTGTGTGTTTCATTAACTGCATCATTGGCCTCATATTCACCATGGAGGCTGGGAACTACTGGTTTGACATATTCAATGACTACGCAGCCACCCTCTCGCTGCTGCTCATTGTGCTGGTGGAAACCATTGCTGTGTGCTACATCTACGGGCTAAGAAGGTAACAGCTCAACACCTTTTTTCTCATAGCCTCAGTGAGGTGGGATGGCGGCCGCAGGCCAGCAGTAGAAACACCACCTGGGGCTGTTTTTTTTCTGCTAGGTTCTGCTCCCAGCAAGGTGAAGGGGCCCCTTCATTCCAACCTCTCTCTCTAATCCGCATGAAGCAGTTTTTCAGGCAACAGTTCTTTGCTCATTACCCCTGGCCAAGTATGCTCTCCACTCCTTCTGCTCGCATTTTCTTCTGTAGGTGCTTCTGATGTGACACAGATGAGGGCGCAGATTGAACATACGCAGGAATACGTGGTGTTTTTGTTTCTGTTTTTAAACACAGATTTGAGAAAGATCTCCACACGATGATTGGACGCAAGCTAAACTGGTACTGGAAAACAATGTGGGCTTTTGCTAGCCCTTTGCTCATTATAAGCCTATTTATATTTTACCTCACCGACTATATCCTCACAGGAACCCTTCAGTACCAAGCGTGGGATAGCACACAGGTAACACAGTTGCTTTGTTTTAAAACAAACAAACTTCCATTAACTCCCTCAAGACCAAAGTATCAACTTAAAAGTACACATTACATGAAAAAAAAAAAAAAACCCAACAATAGTGCTAGTTTAACTGAACAAAGCTGCTGCTGGCTTTCACAAACTAAAAGCTTTCAAGATTGCCATAAACATTTTTCTTCATGGCCAAAACTCATTTAAAGAATGCTTAACTGCATATTTATCCCAAAGGAATGACTACTGGGTAAGCAATTACAGGCTCATAACCTGCTGTGGAAATGTTCCTAGCATGCAGAAATAATTAAGCACTTTGTTTTTGTGCCACCACTTATTTTGGAGCCTGCAGAGGGCCTGCCCTGTTGATCAAGTGTCAGTGTGAGCCCACGGGCCCAGGAGCAGGACAAAGCCACACATCCATGTGGAACCACCTCATTAAGAGAAGGAAATCAAAGCCAAAATCACACACAACAGCTACAGCAGCTCTGTTCTCGTTATCAGTTTTAAGGCTGTGAGGTGGGACAAAGTAGAGTGCTGAGGACACTCATGACCAGTTTCACCTCAGGCAGCAGTGCCTGTGCTTCTCTGCTGGCCCATTTAAATAAACAAGCGGCCAGACTGACTTTGGGATGTGGCAAACCAGACCCAACACTGCTTCTCTCCCTTGTAGGGACAGCTGGTGACAAGAGACTATCCCAGCTACGCCCTGGCAGTGATAGGGCTGCTGGTAGCCTCATCCACCATGTGCATACCTCTGGGGGCACTCCTAACTTTCATAAGGAAGAGACTGAAGAGGGAAAGAGTCTCCACTGTCGCATGAACGCAGAGAATTGGATTGGGAAAGACCTTACCCACACCACCAGTGACCGGGCACTTCTGGAAGCCAGCAGCAACCATTACTCGTAGCAGCTACTTAGAGACTGGAGAATCTTGGTGCTATATTTACCAAAAAGTGCTCTTGGAAGGTCCCTCAGTGGTTCAGAAAACAAGCTCTCCTGTAAGAAGATGAAGCTTTAATATGGCCTCTGTAAGAGGGGGAGAAGCAAAACAGCAGCTCACAAACGCTCTAGCTAGCACGGATTAACCAATGCCATCTATTAGGCAATTCTTCCCCTCTCTGCTGTAGCACTGCCTATCTGGAAACAGGAGCAACCAAGCAGGCATGTTCCTGCACTGAAGTACTGGCAAATATCCCTACCACTCCAGAAAGCCAACACTTAACCATGTGTATTACATCTATGTTCAGCAACACAGTTTATATCCAAGCTGCAGAAGTTCTTGTCTCTCTCTCTTGTCTTTGAAGTTAACTTCAAATTACAGTGCGCAGTTCTGCCCTGCGCTGTATATCTTGCTAGGGATGCACTGAACAAACATTACAAATGCCTGTAATTAATAAGCTGCCCTATAAGCCAACCAACACCCGGTATGCCATACAACTAGCTTTGACAAAGTTCATATCCAAGTGTACTTTAATTTTAATCATGAGATGCAACAGTTCAGCAGTTCCACAGAACTGTTTCATTTGCTCGTGTTAATGTTCTATAGAAGTACCATGCTTAAATTTTAAGCATTGCATAGCAGAAAACAGCAAAATTTTATCTATGAACTTGTAAAGAGGTCAATGAAAAACACAAGACACACTCATGGGACACAGGTTCTAAATGCAGTGCCTTGATTATGTAACCATTAGAAGATGGCAAGTGCCTTATAAAAGAGGGATTCTGTTTCAAACATTTTAAGAGTGCATCAACACAAGTCTATCTCTACGGGGCAAAGAGCAGGAGGTCACTTCACAGCCTTCAGGGGTGGATGAAATCTTGAAACTCATAATCAACACCAACGGGACAGTCTGCAGCAGCCTCTAGAAATGCATGCCTCCCTTCCCATACTTAACTAACGAAGAAAAGACACCTGTTTCACTTTTCGGTTTATTAAAAATGGATACCATAAACAAGACCTGTACAAAAAAAAAATCCGAAGTCGCCCAGCATTTGGTAACAGTTGCATGGGAGAAGTTATCGTCTTGGGCCTCCTCTTCCTCTTCCACGGCCCCGGCCTCTTCCACGGCCTCGGCCACGGCCTCTTCCAGCAACTGAGCAAATAAAACAGAAAGGATGAAACAAGTGAGGCCTTGGAATACTTTAATTTAGATTAACTCATGCTGCAAGCATGAACAACCTAACATCTCATCACACAGAAACAATAAGTCAGATATTAAACCTATTAATTCCCAGAATGTTTAAGGCAGCATTGTCATCTTTTGTGTTAGGTGTTCCAGTACCCAGCTTCCATAGGCTACTGTCTGTCTCTGACTTTGCTGCAGACAACAAGGAGCTGAAACATCACTGCTTCCAAACACTATGAGAAGTCTGACAGTTTCTCTTCTCTGTTTGGTAAAACCTTGTTCTTCAGGAATCAGAAAAAGAAATTACAACATTTTGCTGCACAGAGTATTTTAGTTATTATCCATCTCCTTAGAAAGGTGTTTTCTCTTTTTTTTTTTTTTTCGCTGCAGCTCACACCATTTCATTAAGTACAGTGTTTAAGGAAAACATGCTCTAAGATTTCCAAGCCCCTTCTCCCGGGTTGCAGCAGATTAAAAGGCAGCATTTCTAAAGAGACCCAGCACCAGACAGCCCATTCTGTTTCCAAACATGCCTGTGCCAGTTTCAGACATGATTCCTAGCCCAGTGCTTCTCCGTGCTGCCGAAGGAGGGAAGGAACCACAGAATGATTCAGGCTGAAGGAAATGCTGGAGGTTCTACGGTCCAGATGACAGTAATGTCATTTTAGTCTGTGATGCACAGACCCAAGGGCAACTTATTCCATTTTATTAACATAAGAAGATTAATTATAATGCATTTTTAGAGCATCAAAGACTGCAGGTCCATATACTTAAGCATAAATTACAGGACAAATGGCAAGCAGTTTCTTTAGAGCACAATTACCTTTAACTTGTTTCTTGAAAGACACACTGATTAACACTGTCGGGCAAAACTTTTACTGCCTCAGGACACATACAAACTTTGCAGAGTTTACTGGATATTAATTGTTAATGGTGTAGAATAAAAACAGAAGCATTCCCTACTCGGTTAGGCTTCTAAGGAAAAGGGCTTTGTCCACAGGAACACAGCCTCAGCTCCCTCTGCATTCTGAAGCCCCTCCAGTTCAGTTCTCCAGCAGATTATTTGCATCCACTACCACGCGGGATTTCAGTTCAGCACCACTCCTGAGGGCTGTTCTACACTTTCTTATTAGGCTAAATATGAAGTTACCCACAGAACCAGGGAAACTGAGCAGACATTTTGAAAACAGGAGCTGTACATCTCATTGGTGTTACCTCTGAGAACGTGATAGGTTAGAATTAACTTGCACTTGAAGACATTTACATTTTAAAACAGATGCACGAGTAGCCATGTGAATAACTTCTCATGAAAGGAAACTACAGACACAAAGAAGGCAGGCCAGGCAGAGCAAGTGAGTTCAGTACAAACCCTCGGAGATGAAAGCAATATAGAAATTATGATATTCCAATCATATGCCTTCAGACTGAGAGCACGAAAACACAGATAAGGCAAAACAAGCACATATTGGGAAATCAAGCACTGACCTGCTTCTCTTTTCTTGGACTTGACTTTTGGTTCAACATCCACTAGCAAGGTGTCCAGGGGCAAACTGTCTGGCAGAATGAAGTATCGGATGTTATTCCCCCGAATGCTCAGTGTCTCCAGCTGTACAGGCTCCCTGTTCTTCAGTGTCATTTTCACAGCCTTGAGATGAGTATTCATACTGACATCCACTCCTGAAATGACAGAAGTCTGATTTCAGAGAGTGAAAACACAGGATGACTCCCCTCTGGCTATTATTAATTGTGCACACGCTTCAAGACTTTGCTAAAGCACAATTCTGGATCTGTGCCATTCGTTAATTAAGCCTCTAACTGGAAGAAGAAACTGCATCTTTTTTTCTCTGTTAAGTTATGCTGATTTATCAGTTGCTGCCCTCAACATTTCACTGATGTATTTCCAATGGAAGAGCCACTTGCTACCAGCTGTAGGGGTCTGTTCCTAGGTCTTAGTCACAGCAACACTGTGAACGCTTAGAATGATTCCTTTGGACAACAAATAAACTGCCACTTATTACAAATGCATAACATTTGTCTTTTTTACTCCTTTAAAAAGAAGGAAAACAAAGTTTTGAGTAGGAAAAAAACACTGCATTTCCTTGTTAACTACAACCATTATTTTCTGATCAAATACATCTAATATCAGCATGAGAAGCACCAACTGCAGGCGGCACTGTGGCTCCAAACACACTTTGTGCACCCATGTACAGGGATGACTGTCATTTTAGAGCCACAGACGGGTTTTAGAGGTTCTTAGCACAGCATGAGACAGACTTTGCTCAACAACGAAGGCTGCCAGGACACCAGGGTAGGAGACACACAGACTGCTGCCATCAGAGACAGGTTCTAACAAAGCCGATGGATCTGGCTGCAAAATAACGCTTTTAACCCTACCACATCTCAGTACATTGCTGCTGGCCAATGGAAGCTCCTAAGGAATCCCCTGCAATGCAATTCTGTCATGCTTAAGCTATTTTTAAGAAATCTTTATTATTAGGTGGTTTTTTTTTTCTTTCTTTTTTTTTTAAAGTAAGAGACCAGCAACAAGACCAAGCACAGTCATCAGCTTAACTACAAGGCTTTGCTTTACTGAGTACTGCACATCTGGATGTCTTATGAGCAAATCTAAAATGAGTATTTTTGGAACGCTATCAGCCTCCAATCTTACTAAAGCAAACAAAAATGTCTACACACTTTTCCGTGCATGAGAAGCAACTGATCAGCTGAAAAGGCTTTTCTCAAAGCATTCAGGTCAGGTCAGGGAGGAGTACCTTCACTGTGCAGACCTGCATAGAAGGAGCACTTCCCTATGCAAACACACACAACCGTTTGCAGGACAGGCCTTAGGCTACAGCAGGGGACCAGGATCTCTTTAACTATATGTTCTGAAGCCAATTTAATGAAACTGATGCACGCGCATACAAATGTGTGTTCCCACACCTTAAGCAGAATAAAAACATTCTCAAAACCAACTTTCAAGCTTTCAAATTTAAAATCTTGACCATCTCAAAGCTGTAGCCACATTCAGCATTCACTATTATCTGAAGGGACCTTCAAGTTCCAGCCCCAAGATCTTACAAATACATAGGCTGTATGCCCACTGCCCTTTGATACAGCAGTAACGCTGCCTCACCAATGCCTGCATGCTGCTGCAGCAATTTCAGGTTACCACGCTCACACCAGCAGTGCCAGCACTGGTCTCCCTTACCCCACACAGCTCTGGTCAGACTGTGGGGCTGCTGGCACACCATACCTGTGATGGTGCCATGCACCTGCGTCCCATTCTTCAGCTCGATGGTCACAGTCTCGTGACTCAGCTTCATCAGAAACCTAGGAATTAAGCACAGGGTGTTCACTGTCACACTAAGGCTTACGCCTGCCCAACCACATGCTGCTACACACAACCGATATGCACCGAGTGCTGCATTGTAAGGCAAACGTTCCCAGCTGCCGTCAATTCTGCTGAAGGTGCTCCATCGGGTAAAGCCAAAGCCCCAAACGGCACCCAGCTGCCAGGGGCCAGGAACGGCGGCACCGGGCTCAGGCAGAGCCGGGACAACGCCGTCAGACGCGGGGTTTGGGTTTTGGGCGCCCTGTGAGAGCTGTGTTCAGGATCCCTCGCGCATCCCTTCCAACCCGGGATGCTCCGTCACTCCGTCAGCTCAGGGCCGCGCTAAGGAGAAGCCATTTTAGAAAACGGCACCGCGTGCAGGCGCTTCTACCCGGCTCCGCCCCCAGCCGCACGGAGGGGTTTCCCGGGCAGCCCCGCTCCGCAGGCCCGGCCGCGGCCCCGCCATGGCGGGCGGCACGAGGATGGGGGAAGGGCGGGCGGCGCGCGCGGCTTCCCGCCGCCTCTCTTCGCGATCCGCCTCCATCCGCTCACCTGACGAGCTTCATAGCGCCGGCGGGACGGCGCGGGGCCTTCGGCGGGCAGCGGCGGCCGCCCCTGGGGGCACGGAGAGCCCTCGGCGGGAGCGCCGCGAGCGCGGGCGTTGAGGAACAGGGCCTCCGACGAGCGGGCTGCGCCCCAGCAGCTCTATAGCGGCCGCCGCCGGCTGCGATCAATGGGCGGAAGCGGCGCGGCGGAAGGGGCGGGACGCAGCGCGCCTGCGCGGGGCTGAGGGCGGGCGTCGCTGAGGGGCTGTGCTGCCGCCATTTTGGAATTGAGAGGCGAAGCTGGAAGCGGAAGGCGAACTCGAGATTTTACGCGTCTAAGCACCAAAGTAATACATCTAGACCGCAACAGCCGTGCTTCCACGTCAAGTAGTAGATAAGGACTGCCAGAATCTAGAAAAATCTTTTTTTTATTGTCATGAGTACACCGTTGTGATTTCAGCAATACAGACTCTTTGCAAAGCACTGAGCTCTGGCTACCCTCCAGCTTTGAGAACCCACATTAACCTGTCCTTCCATCCGTATACACACTCCAGAGCTGGTCTTTGACACAACAAATCTGTTATTTTGTGTTTATTTTTTTAAAAGCTGCAAAGATTCAGTTCTAGGTTGCAAGACAACAGAGTTTTCAAAGGGCAGCTGCCCAAGAGCCATAAGAACCATTACATACTGAGTCTATGGTGTTCCTGCACTTTGCGTCCATGACAGAGGTGACATTGGAAAATGAAATCAGAGAGAAGTTTCCAGTTAACCACCAACTGGTATTCCCAGCACAGCATCTAGAAGCAGACAGAGGCATGGCAAGTACTGGTGTTTATGCACAAGTTATGCTCACAAAGAACCAGATGCCTCCAGCAACATTCAAGGTTAAAATGAACAGATAACTGCAAAAGTCTGTACACAGTTTCAGTCATAACACAGTGAAACACTGGAGTATGAGTGCTTTGTGTTCTAACCTCAGTAATGAGAACTGTGCTAGCTCTAAGATTCTACACATCTCTCCCCCCATTTACATTTTATAACTGCAATCTGAATATACAGCTGTACTTACAGGAAATATTAAACAATGCGCAGCGCCTTAAAGCAAGTTTCATGGCTGGTTTTGAACAAACCATATAAAATAAGTGACAAAATAGTTTAAAATTGGTCCTCGAGTAGGATTACTTATTTTTATACAGCTTGGAAGCACTAAATTTAAAGACACATTTATTGTTAACCAGCACATGTTATTTTGTAGCTTTTTAAAAAACTTTTCTCCTTTAAAGTGTGTTACATCATCATGCATGAAAAGCAAGAAGCTGCTCCCAAGTGCAACATGGCATTAAGGTGACATTTCCTCCTCCGATTCATACTCCTTTTTAAAAAAGTTATTCCAACAACAACAAAAAGAACAGAGGCAGCTGACTAGGAAAACAATACCAAGCTCACCTTTTGCTTTGTGACCATTCTTGAAGTGATGGAGTACTTTGGGCCTTTAGCATAAGGAGGGTTTGATAAACCCCACAAGGAGTTTTACATTCTTTGATTTCATTTACATACTTAGAAAAAAAGAAGAAAGTATTTTCATGAGCTAACTAATGAATCATCATCTGGAGACTGCAGTACTGAAACAGTGCAAGACGTTTGCAACTTCAGGAGCATCCAATTACATCTCTCACTCAAACAATGATTAGTAGAGTATTGCATCAGTCAGACAACACAGGACAAAAAGGTCATCCTGGAGGAGCACTAGGATTCAAAAAATCCTGTATATTTAGTGAAAAAACCCCCACACAACTATGCATGAAGGACTTGGACCTTACCACAGCAAAAGTAATCCAGCTACAAGCCTCGGAACAAGACTTTCTGTTGTTATGAAGCCTTATTTGTTCAGAGAACATGATTAGAAACTCTTATTACTGCTGTAACATCCAGGTATTTTGACACATGAACAGCAGGGCTCTCTCCTGCCAACCGAAGTTCAGCCAGAACTGCACACGTGGACAATGAGCTTAAACCATCCACTTCACACTCTACAGCATTCCAGAAACCAAAAAGCTGCCCTTAACCATTGAATTCTCAGTGATGTGGATGGAGGCCCTGCACTAATGCAATATTCTAAAGACCATTGCAACTGAGACTGTTTCTCTCCCCTCCAGCGCTGCCAATGAAGAATGTCCATAAGACCACTAGTTAGTGTGGAAAGCAGGTCAGTAGAGACTCCAAGTGTGGCTGGAGGAATCCTCAGTACCAAGCCGCTTTCCACACACACAAATTCAGTCCATCTTCTCTTTCTGAACCAGCTTGGGTGCATCTACAAAATCCTTGCCGTTGTAAAGGATGATGGCAAAAGTTCCAAAGCTTGCAGTTCCCCAGAAAAGCACATAGGCCAGTGTCTCAGTCCACGTATCACCTGTTAAATTCAGACACTCTAGTTCATCTCCAACGATCAGACAATCTACATACAATAACAAGACATTTCAAGCCCTCCCACAGATATCAAATGAAGTTAAGAGCGCTTCACAGGCAGAGGCCTTTCTTATATTATTTTCTATTTTCTTACCTAGAAGGTGACAGGTCAAAGTTGCTTATTTGTGAACTAGCACTGTCTGCCACACAGTTGTTTGAGTACTTTAAGCAGATAGCTATGGAGGTCACAGACTCAAGAACTTTACTGGCACAGATATTAGGAAATTTAAGGAAAAAGGCTGAAAGCCTTTTTTATTCCCAGCACAGATTTAGAGTAAAGGAGATATTCATCAGATCAAGCTTATATCTATATCTCACCTTTCTGATCTGCTTTTGTGCAAAAAAGTCTACTCAGGTAGAACTAAATTTGGGGGCAGTTAATTGTGACTTACCAGCCATTAGCAAACAAATGATGCACATGGAGAAAGCAACCACCATAATAATAGGCAACTGGGAAAAGAAAAAGGTTAATTAAATGATGTAATATCACATATATTCCTTAAATTCCTTGAATCAAAGGCTGCAAAGCTATTTACTTGCTTTGCCATTAAGTTGTTTTAACTGTTGATGTCAGGTGCAACTGTAAAATTTTGGACTGTTCCAAATAGTGCTCAATAGTGACATTCAGTATTAAAATACATCTTCTAAATATTAGAAGAGATGTGATGTAAAGGACTTTTTTTCCTTTAAAAAGAATAAGTACACCAGCTACCACTTAAACCCTTTGTGTCCCCACGTCCCATTTTGCTATGTAGAAGGGAAAGAAGAAAAAAAGGCAGAAAAAAGTTTTCTTCATGTTACAGTCTATGCCTCTGCATAAAGTATGAGAAAAGATTTTCACAAGCTTCTTCTGCAGAATGAAACAGTCATTGATGGTGACTGGTAGGATTTCTCCCTTCCCACTTGAAGCAGATTTTAAAAAAGCAAGCAGCAGTTCTTTCAGTACCTCAAGGACACTTCGCTTTCTGTCAAAGGAACAGTCTGTGTTTAGTCCTACAAGCAGGCATCACAGAAACACAGCCACATTACGGGGACACTCAATTACTAAGTAGACAATTTCTACTTAGTTTTATTAATGCAGGTGACCAAAAGGTTTCATACATTTGGAAAAACATGAATTGAAGTCTCCATACTCACAGCTAAGAACTTCCAGTCTTTCTTGACATGTAGAGGACTAGCAGATTCTACTTCATCCACTGAATAATTTCCAAGAAAGAGATCAATAGCATCCTGAAAGAGAAACAGAGCAGAAGTTGAAATGCACAACAGTATTTATCAAATACATTTTCCCACAGTTAAGAACACAACTTACTTGTCTAAATCCATCAGAAAAGTTATTTTTGTAATAACGTATTAATGAGTTCCAGCCATCCATTATTAAGCCCCACTGAGTCCTCTTCCCAGTTCTGAAAAAGAAATTTAAAATATTTATTACATACTTATGCATTCAGGACAAGTTTTAGATATAGTCCTTCCACTGTTCACTGTTCAAACGTATTACATTTAGTGAGTACACATACATACAATTACCTAGTGCTGCCTCTGCATTATTACCATACACACTTGTTACAAGTTATTTGAAAAAGGAATTACAATTCTCTCCATCCTATGATACAAATGTACCTTGAAGATGTGCATTTTTTGTTTTTATTTCTAGATCGCCTTTTCTCCTTTCACATACACACAAAGAATAGCATTCTTCTGTAGATTCCCATCTCACATTTTACCAAAACACACCACAAAGTTCATTAATAGCCTATGCCCCAAATTCATGATCTTTTTGGATGCAAAGACCTAAAGGAAGCCCCAGACATACACAAAAACCCAGAAGGCCTTTACAAGAAAGGCAGACTTGCCTTGTGTAATCTGTCTTTAAGGCACCAGTTCCAGCATACTGTTTGGCACAAGCATTAGCATTATCAGCCCATGCTGTAAACAGGAAAACATTGAGAACATTAAGGAAGTTATGTGCTGTTTGGTAAAGTGATTTAGTGTTTTTGTTTTTTAAGCTTTATGAGCAGCATACCATTTTTGTAGATTTTCTCAAAGTCTGCTTGCTCCTCAATCCTCTGTCCAACATGCAAAACACCTAGCCTCTGAAACAAAGCAGATGGAAGCGCGCTAGGAATACGTTAGAAATACTAGGATTTGCTTTCAGAAAAATCTGTGTGCAATGAACTAGAATCCGGTCAGTGCCTTTCACATAAGCATTACAGTAACTCAAGCTCTTGAGGTGTTTCACAGCACAGTCAGTTTCAAGTAGAATTCCTTCCTCCTCTTAAGAGCTTGTCAAATAAGAACTAAGTATTTACCTGAAGCTGGGCTTGAAGAGATCGGCGTGCTAACAAGCTCTGAATCACATTTGTCCTATCCAGGCAGTCCATACAGTTACTGCGGAATGTTCCTTCCTGCTGAGTCACAATTTTACCATCCGAATCAACTAGAAAATAACTAAAACATACAATGTATAAATACCTAGGTGGATTGGAACAAGTAGATATTCCAGCAGCCAAAATATGGTTTCCAGAGCACATGAAGAATTGTTAGCCATGTCTTTTGACATGGGATGCCACCCTTAATTCTTTTCCTCCTATGATGAAAAATGAAAAGCAGTATCGATACATGAACAAGTTGAAATCTTCAAGCAGTACTCATTATTGTCATTCAGACAGACAGCAATATTGAGCTATAGGCCAATGGGAAGAGCAGCTACTAGTGCAACAATTGAGGAACATAC